CACTAGCACTCGTCAAGAGAGACGAGATTAAATCTTATCTTGTCATAATGGTAAAAATAAAAATTGAACGGTATCTCAGCTTAGGGATTGGTAGATATATTAATTGCCGCGCCAAAGTCGCAACTCTCAGCGGAAAAAGTAGCTTTTAGGGAAATATTCGCCTGCCAGCCGCAAACTCGAGAGTCAGTGATCGCATGGGCGTTGAAATGTACATCCTGGTAGATTACTATCGTTGTCAAGGCTGTCAACCTTTTTACTCATGAACTAGCGTAAACCAATCAGGGCAGTTTTTTGCTGATGATTTTCTTCGAAGCGTGTCGGAATTGTTTTGGGATGTTGACGTCTCGTCAGTTGGACTGAAATGCCTCGCGGTGCGTGGCGCGTGATGTCTTTGCAACATTCGTTTTGTCAGAGCGTGATCGCGTATCAACGCTAATTGCAGCTCATAATTGATGAGGTTTAGCGGACATCTTTGCGTAGAAACCGCTCTTTTGAGCTCGGGAAAGCGACTATGAGCTCAGGTAAAAACAGCTGCATTGTGGTCTTGTGCCATTTTGTCAGTTGTGGGTTTTTTTAGTGATCCGAAGGCAGTTCTTCGCTGTGTCGTGTAGAGTTTTCCTCTGTTAATGGTGTAGCGGTGAATCTCAATTTGGATTTGTTCTCAATCAAACATTTCTCCTCCAGGACTCAAAGGGAAACTTTTTGGTGGCAGCAAAGTGAAAAGAGCCCGCTCGTTTTCCGGTAGAGAGAAACAGAAATGGACGCCAGCGAAAGACGCGAAAGAAGGTAAGTCAATTTTAAATCGGAAGTACACATTTAATGATGCCTCAGGTATTTTCTCTGTTATTCTTCTAACAGACTTTTAATGCTCATTTAGATTTTATTCTAAAGAATTATTGCTGAGTAATTTCATGCGTTGATGTCCCTAAGGTTATTGTAGTAGCGAGATATTAGTTGTTTTAAGTCCTCCGCATTTTATCATTGATATTTTAAAAACAATTCATAAATTGCAGGGAAAAAAATTTTACAAAAGCCCTGAGGCGCTGTAGCGGGGAACACATTTTTCATGTCCGCGTGTTGATTGTGGTTTTGGTCTCAGAAATAAATCATCGTCTCAAATTTGAACGCCTCAGAATACCAAAGATCTTTTTGTGGAGAAAAGTCACGTCTACCTGAGACTCTTGTTTAGTATTTGATTTTTAATATTGTTAAAGGTTAGCCGTGTGTAACCACACTTAATGCCTACACGCTTTATGCTGTCTCGCTGAGCTGAACAAAGCCTTAGTCCGATATTTAGCCTTGAAAAGCACAGCTAGTTTGGGCAGATCTGTTCTCTGTTTCCGTTGGGCACATTCGTCTCGCGTGAAGCCTCCATTTTTACGAAATTCAGGCGACAATGTTGGATTTTAAAGAGTCAAAATGTGCCATTGTAGGTAAGTTCGGAGCGATATGTTTAGAACAGACTTGCGCGCGATGTATGTTTGTTAACCGCGTTCGTCGCGCGCGGTCGAACTTAGGATCAGTAACCAAAGCTAAGTGACTTATTTTTTAGAGCGGGTTGTTCCTAAACCGTTATTCTCGAAAAGTAGCTAAGCGCATTTGTCATAATGACCTCACAGCTTCACAGAACAAGGGATTTACGCAAACACGATAAACAAAGCAGTGCTTCTAGAAGACGCAATGACAAAGGAAGTCTTTCGAGTCTCTTTGTTCGAAGCTCTTTCTAAATCTTCAGTATAACAGATGTGACAATGCGGTAGCAATAAATCTTTTCCTTCAGCGAGCTCGTCTTTGCTTGGTAGAGGTTCCTCTCTAAGGGATGCGCTCTCAAAGAACACGGAAAATTGTAAGAGGTGAAATGAGACGGAAAAGCGAAGGAGGTACATTTACAAGGTTTTGTTTTCATTGCGAAAGTTTTCCTTCCTGTTTCTATGTTTTTAAAACGGCTTTTACTGGGTTTGAGGCTTAATCTTGGTAATTCTGTCCATGTATGGAGGGATATTGTTAAGTTTTTTTTCGGGTGAAAGGCAACGTCTGAAGTGATCTAAGATCCCTTGCTAATTGGTTTTAATATTAAACACCCCCCGAAAACGAATTGTCAATTTCGTGTCGATTTTGTGCGCATCAGAAATGCGTGTTTTTGTCTCACAGCAACTGACGCGAATTTTATCAGATTAAGATATGCCAAACACAAAGAGCTGGCCCAGAATTCTAACGTAACGCTTGTAGTCTGAATACATTTGATGCCATCAGTTTGTTTGTCTCGAGCTCCTAACGTAAATATTGCCGGCTGAGTTTACGGACGCTGTTACTTAAGCCAAATTTCTAGAGTTGCCACTGGACGGTGGTTTCAGCTCTTGTCCCGTCTCCCATGACATGGCCACCGGAACATCAGAGTGATGTTGCTGTTTTTAAGTGATGGGGGATAACCAGACCTTTCTTGTGCGTTACACTAAAAGGCAGAAATGTAAGTGCTTTCCAGTTTTAGTTGTAATTACTTCTAAGTAAACGAGAGAGTACATTCGCTGATTTTGCATACGTTTCAACGACCGTTCGCGGGGGCCACTCCAAGTTGTGTGTTGCGTGGCGAAAGTTCTTTCCGGCTTCCCACGTCAAATTGGTTGCAAAAATTTCGCTTTTAATTTATCTGCCAATAATTAAAGAAATGCGTTACCTATCTCATTCACAAATTTGACATGATGGAAATTGTAACAGATACCAGAACACCGAAATGGGGTACGCTGCTCGATTGACAAGAGTTTTCCCATTCGTTTTAAAAGCTTATTATTCTTACAGTTGGGTTTAAGCGAAATTGTAAGATGTATTTGTGCACGATCTTTGGGGAATCATTGCAAGAAACACCATATATTTCACTCGGCATTTACGACCGTTTAACCGCTTGTAGACGGTTAAGTCCATCTTCCTTCCTTTCGTCGAGTTGTCATACCGTCATTTAGGGAACTTCATCTTTTTGGCACAATGTTCGGTAGCGTGACAGGTTTGAAACTCAATGTTATTTACCCCGCGACAAATCTTTTACACGTAGTTTTCCATTTCATAATTTTTCCAATTCAATGTATTTTTTAACATAGATCACTTTGCGTGCATTCCCGTAAAGTAACGACAATTCTACGTTTCTAAAATTACGATTGTAACTTAATCCTAGCAATCACTCTTGTGGGAAAAATAATAATAATGACACCGCTTGCCCACGATTCACCAAAGTACACAATCACAGATTTCTACATTTACGAAGCTTCCAACTAATATTCCATTCCCTTCTTGTATCACGGAGAAAACCGCCATATTTGTTTCTGTCGTGCTGTGCACGGATATTTTCATAACATTTTTTTCAATCCCTTAGCAATATGGTTTGTATTCGGACATGTTTGTCAAGTTTGTGAGTTTAAAATTTGGCCAAGCAACGATATATGTAAATCAAGTTTCATAAACACCAAGCTGTTTGTGAAAAATTTATGATAGATTTATCGTCGTAACTCGTGATTGCGAATGAGTTAAGAATATATTGAAAACTTATGCACCTAACAATCATGGACACTTTTCGTTTTGGGTCTATAGTCACTAAATGAAGCGAGATTAATTTGACAACACAGTTGTTGTACATGCTCGGGAGATTCTTCGAATTTTATGTAAATACGCCAAATATCCTACTACGGAATTTAAACGCGGGTGGTAAAAGTCAAATTTGTGATCGCGAAACATCGTTGTACGGCATTTAAAAAGCACATCGAGTGCACTTGTTTCCATCCAAGGCTTAAATTTACAGAGATTGACGAGAACACTTTTATCACGTATTTAGAGAGACTCAAGCCAAACCGCACTTCCAATTAAGTTGCTAATTCGTATTTGTTGTCGAATGTTAATCAAATTTTCTGGTTTTTTTGTGTTTTTGCGATAAGAATCCTTTCCTAACAATGCCTAGTATCCCTGATACAAATCAGTTTCATTTAAATCAGTTCAGCGACCATCACATCTCTACATTTTTACTGTAGAAACAATGGTTACTTTTTGATAATCAGTTTATCCAAAATACAGGTTTTCCATCCACTTAAATTGAGGTTTTCTGATTTATTGGAACAAAATTGGTTGTTTCTTTTCAAATTACTGACTTCCTGTTTTTTCTCTGAAGTTAGACATTCTTTACTTTTAATTGAGAATACAGAATCATTTTCTGAGCCAAAAAATGTGGTACTAAGTCATGTGAGCTTAAAATTTGAAGTTTATTTTGAGTCAAAAATACACATCTTCACTTTTGAAATATTGGAATAAACATATATTTAGATATATATTGTATGTCTGCCATAAAAAAATATTGGTTTTCATATTAGTCTGTGGTTTACTGCGAATTTGCATCATAGCTTGTTTATGATTAGTTTTTATAAACAAAGATCCTTCTAGAGATAAATCTTTGCGAAGACATTGTAATCAAAAGTGAAATGTATTAAATTTATATACAAAAGATGAGTGCTATCGTGACATTATATAACATGTAAAAATTTCATCGGAAATATTTGCATGGATAGGAAACAGTTTTGAAGATCGTACTGAGCTTATCTGTAGTTAAGCTGGATCTAAGGGTTTCTGATATTAAGGTCATCCTTTTGTGCTATAACATTACAACTGTATTTAAGGTACTTTTATGCTCCAGTAACTTTTCAAGCCTCAGTGATGTATTCTTCAAAGTTCAACAATCTTGCTGTCAAAGTCACAGTAGAAGCAATTGTATTTTATTTCAAAGTGAAAGGTCAAGTATTCCAAAGCTTTGAATTATAATCTCCTTATTCCCTTAAGTTGCGTGACCTGATAAGAGGCAAAATTCATTTCAATATAATTATATATAGGTTTATGTTGAGTTCTGGAGGTTTTCCTTTTATAGAACCTTGTCCTAATGATCACCTGGGGAATGGGGGAAAGTGGGTGTTGTAGACATGGTCATTATAAGGAGGAAAGGTTCAATATGAAACTTTTTTCTATCTGTTGGGAAGGTTGAACATTTTATTCTAGTTGTCTATTAAATGAAAGATGATGTAATTCCGTGAATGACACAGGCATACTTGTAGGAAAAATGAATCTAAGTGCTTTCAATAGGAGTCAAACCCATGACCTTCTGACTAGTACCTTGGGCACACTACCACTGAACTACAGAAGAGTTGTGGTGGGCTAGGCTATCAACAAGGTCTATGGAGACAAACTTCCTGTATATTGCTAGCATAGGAATGTATATAAATATAAGTTATCATTTATTTAAGGTAACACAATCAATTTATATCAAGAAATTAAAACAAGAACCAAAACTTGGGTCAGAATTAAACTGAGGCAAAACAAGTATGATACACATGTTACCTTGGTGTATACAATTTTTGCTTCAAGGCTAATTTACAAATGATGTACTTTATCTTGCAAAAAATAGAGTTGTTAGTAGGTGTCTGGTTTAGAAAGTTATTCTTTGACAGAAAAGACAGCTAAGATGATAACTTAACTGATGATGATAACTAACACCCTTCATGTCTTTGCTGTTATTTTTACCAAATTCTACTTGTTATTTATTTAGCTTGGCTTTTTTATTTCTTACTATCTTTTTATTTTGTGAAAAAGGAACGGCATTTGATCATTAACCTTATGTGCAAAAGCAAGTACAGGTTTTTTTAGATGTTTAGAAGACATTGGAGGGTTAGAGTTCTTTCATCTCTAGAATATTTATGCTAAATGTTCATCTGATATTGACTGGGAAGATGCTTGGAGGCAGATGTGCTCTTAGATTTTTATAAACACATTAACCAATTCTGTTCAACCATCTCAAAGAGAATGTAATATTCCGATGCAACGATTGACTTAAACAGAGACCAGTTAAAATGAGTGAATCTATTTTAAATACTGTTACAGTATGAATTTTATTAAACTGAACAAAAAAAATGATTGTTATTTAACTAAGCCCTTGAGTTGGTTTTTCATACCATGTTAACTTTATTGTGATATTTCTTCTTTTATGTGTATTACAAAAATTGACCCTGTAACTCCCATGAGTGACCAAGACAGAATTTCTCCTTTCAATATTGATACAATATCAATCAGACAAGTGATGAGAATAAAGAAAACTATCAATTTGGGGATAATTAATTGATCCAATACCAAATTCTCTGAACTAACATTATAAGAATTGGAAGGTTGACAGTAAGGAGAATTTACAAATTAAGTGTGGGAGTTAAAGGATTAAACTGGTTTTGAAAAAGATAAAACTAGACCAAATATTTGAACCATAACAAAAACATTTGCCCTTGATGAAGCATGGCAAATTGAAATCAATCAACAAATTGTGTAATTATAAATTCATATCTCAAAGTTATTTTTTATGTTGGCATGTTTCTATTCACCATCTGTCAATTGATGGGTTTTTTCCCTTATCTATGCATTTTTTTCTGTCTTGGAATCCATGTTATGTGGTAAAATACTCTAAAATTATCACTGCTGTGGAATGATAAAATGTATCTTTCTTTCTTTGATTGCTAACTAATAATAATAATTAATAAGATGTATTTTTAATTAACAGCACATGTGTAATTGATTTTGGAAATCAACAATGTCTGCAGCCATTAAGAAAATGATTTGTAAAAAGAAGTCATTTCTTCAATTGGCTATTGATTTAAAACTGAATACTATCAATCAGGTTGTAAATCAATCCCTTGTTATTTAATACTTAGAAAAAAGATATGTGAATTTGCCTGAATTAATTAGAACTAGCTCAAGGTAGCTTAATTTTGCTTGTCCAAATAAAAATTTTAAAATTTATTCTAATCTGTATTTCCTTGGAGTATAAATTATTTAGATACAGCTTTTACTGTGTTTGGAAAAATCATAAATTATTAACTAAAAAACATAATGTTTTATTTCTTGGATTTGAAATTTTGAAATTGAAATTTGTATGCAGTGTATCAAAGTTGACAAGTTTTTTTGTGCCTTTTTTGGTTTGTTTGTTTTATTTTTACATTACTTCTCAACTAATGAAAGTATTTACAAGATATTATTGAAAGTATCAACTCTATCTGAAGTTATGAATCGATTGTTCCTTTTCTGAACTATTCTCTACAAAATGTAGATAAAACATGTTCATCTGTTAATTTTGAAATTTACTCTTTGTTGTCTTAAAAAAGCTTCTAATCTTATGCAGCCTCACTACCCATTTTCCTTTTTTTCAGTCAATTTTTCCCCAAACTAATGTGGAAATGTAAATATTTTTGTTATGACTTTTGTTCGACCATAGTATTTCTTTGCAGTAAGTTCTGTTCTAACAAGGAATTGAGAATTTACTCAAAAAGCATTCAACTTAATGGTCGAATTTCCAATGTTTTGTCTGGCCTTGAAGCTTTGATGTGTGCAGTTCTTTATTATTTATTTTTTAATTAACATTTCTTTGAAATGTAAATGTCGTGTTCCTTTGTACTCTCTTTGATATGCAAATGTTGTTGTTCACAGTTTGGTTATTAGGATTCAGAGAGCTGAATGTGAGCCCCTCAATTGCAGGTCTTTCTGACATCTATGCATGTCAGATTTTTTCAGATTGAAATTTTTTTATTATTTTGAATCTAAACTTGCTGCTGGGCTAAATTTTTTTAATTGTTTTTGGAACTGCTGGCAATTCTCTTCATGCAAGGTTTCAATATTCTTAAGTGACATCTGTATGTGAAAATTAGGATCTTCTTAAGTACACTGTCTGTCGCCTAAGTTTTTTTTCTGTTGAGAAGAAGACCTTTTATTGTGGACAAACTCTTCAAAAGTATTATTTCAAGTTTTCAAATGGAATATGAAGCTTCTCAACTTTTCAAAACCAATTATGCAGGTTAGTTCACCTTGGCAGTTGTTGTTTAATGCGCAGGATCCCTATCTCTGTGTCATAGCATATCAAGGTGTTCTTTGACGCTGAAATCCATAATTGCTGTCCTTGTAAGCTCTGTAACTTGGTGGTTAAATCAGTATGAAGGGAATGACAAGATATTTCTCCTTTTATGTTTAATTTTTATATTCTTAACACTTCTTCAGTTTGGTCTTACAGAGCTCCAAAAAATAATTCAATCTTGATATGTAGTAAGGAAGATGATATTTAAAGGAACTACGTTGTTTTGCCTTTGGTAAATAAATTCTTAAAATAACCAATGTGTTTCTTAAAAGCTTTAAGTTGGTAACACTAGGTTAACTTCTGTTGTGAATTTTAAAAAGCTGAAATTTAGAGCTAAAGCTCTTTGTTTTGGCAATCAAAACTTGCCAAAGTGGTCTACCTACCTTTATGGGCCGAAAGTTGATAACCAACAAATTGTTTCACTTGCTAATTGTTTCACTTGCTAATTTGTATTCTCGATTATGACAAACTTTGTGTTTCGTTTTAGACACAGCCACCACTGTCAGTGATTCAGAAGCCAAGACCCATGCACGACGCCCAAGGAGGCGGACCACTGGAGGGTCAGAAACTGGACAGGAGATTGAAAAAGCAAAGAGATTACATGCACAGGGAAATGGGAATTCCAGTGAACCAGACAATCAGGCTGCCCAGACACTTTCACGTCAGCAGATTATTGCCATGGTAAAGAAGCGGTTTGGTTTAAAACCAGGAGAGCAAAATGGTAACAAACCAAATGGAATACAGGATGTGCCACCGGTAAGACTATTTTACTTATTGAATGTAATTGCACAACCTCCTTAAACGCACTTTGGTTTAGTGACTGCAACTAACTATAACAATGAGAAAGTGTGCTCTTAAAGGACTACTTTTCAGGCATTAGGGCTGTTCCTTCTTGAAACCTGGGTGGCCACAAGTGACTCATTTTTGTCATCCGATGAACTTGCAAGAACTAAGCACCCCAGATTTCTGGGACAAGAAGCTTCAAGCCCCCATCCATTCTTCTAAGAGCACACCTTAGCTATGCCATTCCAAGCCTTCCAGTGATTGAACAGTGTACATTGTAACTGTTATGGTTACAGTGCAAAAATCTTAGACTCAACAGTAATTTTTTTTGTTTTGGTTTTTTATTTGCACAAGTCCCATTCGAAAACTTTTGCATATAAGCTCTTTTTCCAATATTTTGCTTGTATGCTGTGAAACATTGTCAAATGCTGGAAATAAATTGTCATTGCATAATATAACAAAACATTTCATCTTGGCCAAGAGAATGACTAGATACTTCTTGAATTTTTAAGAAAACTTGTTGAATGTTCTGATTGAGGCCCTGTTCACAAATTCAAGATGTTAGCAGTTTGACTTCTATTGTAACATAATTTACAACTGTGTGTTCTCCAATTGAATTTATACAATAAGTACTAGTCAAATACTTATGAAATAAAAATTGGGGAAATTGTGTAAGAATAGTTTGCAGCAAGTAAAGAGGCACTGAATATTTCTAGTACAGTTGAAAATTACATTTGTTTAAAAGACAAGTTGATGTCTCAGGGTTTTGAAGCTCTGAATTTGTTCAATTAATATTTCATAGGAAGATTTTGGAATTCTGTTATTTCACTGAGGTAGTTGTATCAACACTAATCAGTGTGAGTTACCTGTGAACTAAGCCACTTCCTTTTCACCTAACATGGTTCTGCATTTCCACAGATAAAATTACAGGCTTTTACAACATCCTTGCTTATAACTGACCACCTATTTGACCATTGTATTTGTTGGAGTTAAATTTTGCAAATTTTTAATAGAAACTCTAAAAAGAAGGAAAAAATTTTGCGTTAACTAATCACAAAGCGCCTTCCAATTTGCATTTATTTGCTAATTTGTCTCCCTTGCTGTAAATTTGTTTTGTGGTAATTACATTTTTGTAACTTTGTACTTTAGCCACACTAGTCAAATAACTCTAGGTTGACCTGTGCTTGGACATTTCCTTGCATTTCTTTTTTTGGCTTTATTTTTTGGATGTAAATCTCCTCCTAAAAAGTCTAATCATTGATAGATAAATTTTTGTAATTATATAATACAGACGCACTAAAAACAAAAAGTATTAAGTAATGACAATGCTCTTTTAGAAGTATTCTTGCATGTATTTGCTTATTTTTCTTACTGGCTTAGATCCCCACCTTCAGACTAATCTGTTATTATTAATACCAAATATGGGTTGCATAACAGGGTGGCCAGATGAGATTAGGACTAAGCCTGGTTTATTAACATGGGGGTTCCCTTTGTCTGTGGTAACTGGCATGCAAATCGCTCTCTGTGGGTCATTAGCTATTGTCAAGGCTCCAGCATTTCACTGAGTTATTGGTCAGCATTCACTCATTTTACAATGGAACAACAAAGTTACATGGGTAGGATTAGGGTATGTTTATACGAACCAGAGACTCAAAATGTTTTGTTACCTTTGTTGCCTGTTATAGTTAGTTTTCATCTGATTCATTTTGCAGATTTTTCAGCAAAAGGCCAAACAGTGCCAAACCAATCATGTTTTTGTTATGTTTTGTCAACACAGATATATTTTGCTTCTAAAGGTTCAAACAAATCCGTGTTTAATAGCTTGGGGCAACGGGGTTTTCCTTTTATGAGAGTAAAACATTTGTTTGAATTTTTTAACTTTCTTCAATCAAAGTTTCAAGTGGTGCATTTAACTGTTATGTTTATGCCGGTGTTAGCAGAATAACCACAGGGTTAATGCATTCTGCTTTCCCTTTTTCAGTGTTTAATTTTCTCTCCAACTTGACTGTTGATATTGAGACTTTGATGAGATAGGTAGCTTGTTCAACAGATCTGCTTTCTTCCTGCCTAAATATGTAATTTTTCAAGCTGAAAGAAGCAAGTCATTAAAATAGAGGCAGCTGGTGATGTTAAGTGTTTGACTTTTTTCTATCTTCTGTGAAGATGTCCAGCCTCACTTTTGAAGTTGTTCTAAATCATATTCCTCTTCCCATAGATTTTTATTTTCAAAATTCAAAAAGATGTATTGCCTCCTTTTAAAATTAATCATTTTCATCTTTAATTTCATTCCTTAATTTTCTAAGATGTGGTTTTGGTTTTCAATTATGTTGCAAATGAGTACTGTTGAAATTTAATGTAAAAGATTAATTGCATTCTTTTTCCATTCATCATTTTCATCATTAATTTCATTTCTATTTTTGCCAAGATGTGGTTTTGGTTTTCAATTAGGTTGCAAATGAGTATTGTTAAAATTTAATTTACATGGAACTACTTCTCTCCTTTCATCCATTAACATGTAAAGACTTATGAAAAATTGTTTTCAAAATTTCATCTTTCCTAAGTCTGCAATTCTATTTTTCTGTATATTTTGTTAACATGCTACAAATTATTTTACATGAGCACTGTCTCAAAATTTTATTATTTTGACAACAGTTTGTCATGTACTTCTGCTGATGACTTCAGCACAGGCTGTTTAAATGTTAGTCACTGTCACTAAAACAATTTTTTTTCTTTACTTCTATTACTTTCTACTTCAATTTTCAGTTTATCTTATTAATTTAATTATTTTGCAGGCCATACCTCCACTTCCTACTTCATCTCCTAAACAGAAAAGATACGAACTACTTTTGGATAAACCAGGATCATATCCAACAATGCCAAGAAGAGAAGAAAACCATGTGCCTCACACAAATTCAACCCCAGGTAAAGGGAATTTGCAATGACAATGTAGTTTCCTAACACTTGTAATACTGATAAGGAAAAGTCTGCCTATGACGTTGCCTAATGTGACTTCTCCAGCTTCCTGGATGGGTAGTTAAACTCAATTAACCCTTAAGAAATTCATCAGGTTATCATGAATTTTAAAGGGGGACAGATGGTTAGCACACTTGATTCTAGGTCTAAAGGTCTGGGTATGAGACCAGGCCAGGTCATTATGTTATGTTCATTGGCAAGATACGTTACTCTCACAGCACTTCTCTCCTAGCAGAAGTGCAAATGGCTGGAAGGGAATTTTCAGGGTAAAATGACAAAATGCTGGAAGTAACCTGCAGTGGGCTGGTATCCCATCCTGGGGAAGTAGCCAGGAGTACTCCTAGAGACTTAATGGGATAAGCTCCAACTTGATGCTTCACTACCTCCTGAAACTTGCCAGTTTATACTCCAGGGTGTAGTCAAGACACCTCTAAAGGTGTTAAGTGCAAGAAAGAAAGAAAGTGATGACAGTGCCTTGGGTGCAAACCCTGACCTGTTGAAGCAGAGCCCAATACACTAACAGTTAAAAGAGAAATAATCCATTGGTGAGAAAATAAAGTGATCAGCTGGTCAATGAAACTGGAAACAAGAGTTCATTTAGTTGTAGGTCACTTAAATATGTTTTCTGCTGATTTATTGATCAACTGAGTTCTTTTCTGTTTGGATCTCAGGGGTTGTGTACCTTCAGTATGGTGATGAAATCAAACGCGCCATGTTGCCAGCAGGTTTGGATGATCTTCAACAGGTGCAGTCAATGTTCAACCAAACATTCCCTGATAAGATCAAGAACAATGCAGACAACAGAAAAACCATCTACATTAAAGACAACTCTTGTGGAGTTTTCTATGAGCTCGACAATGTTGGGTAATAATTTATTAATATTTCTTACAGCTATTTGACTGTTAAGTTGTTATGCCTGCTTATTGAAATGAAATTTAATAGTTAATTTATAGCAAACACAAAAAACTGGTATTAAAGTTTCTAGAGATAAAAGCCAAATTTGTGGATGCAAGTTTCGATTTCAATTTTCTTCAGACTTACATTTTTATTAATTTCTAGCATTTTGCTGTCATTTGTTTTTGTCTGCTGCCAATGTTGTGGTTTTTTTTAAATATTTGTTCAGTACTTCCCCACTGAAGTACATTAAAGTTATGACAATTGCGATTGTACTTCTTTCCTCAGTGATTTGTCAAACAAGTCGCATCTGAAGGTTCTAGAGTCCAGGCCATTCCAGAATGGTCCTGTCTCACACCCTGTCAGCAGCTCCACAGCTGTACACACTGGAGCCCAGGTGACAAGCACGCCCTTACCTAATCACAGTCATGTTGCTCCAGCTGATGCAATTCACAGTGGCCAGGGTGTCAAATATACAAAGACAACTACTGTAACAAGACAAGCAAGTGGAGGGCCTAGCGTAACAACAGTTACCAGAGTTGTGGGTAGCACTAATGAGAAAGCAGAGAGTACAGTTTCACATTCAGTGACTAGTGGAACTCTGATGGAACAGAAGAAAGTTCCTCTGCCTGGTCTTGGTGCCAGTCACAATCTGAAACCCAGAAGGTATCAAAAGATGTTTTGGTTGCGAAAAAAAAAAAAATGAAACATGTACAGCCTCTTTTTACTTTCAGTTCTAGATTTTAAGGGAGCATTATCAGTAAATTTGTGATGATTTTTTGTGAAATGCAAAACCATCTCTCATGGGGGCAAGACCTCTTACTCTCTTCCAGTGCCCCCCTTCACCCACTGGAGTATGAATGGTTATCAGACAACTGTCATGAAACTCCCTGAGGAACTGATGGGGGAAACCTAAGATAGAAGGGCATCCCATCCGAAGGGGGGGAGGTGTAGGAATAAGATACTCCCCAGATACCCCATATTACAGGAATTGGGATAATTTCTGGTGTGTTGGCCTGTAGCTCGAGAGAAGACTTGAAATATTTATCCTACTAATCCCTCCATTTCCTCATAATTTGCATTGATGATTTTCAGACCTTCTCGTGATCCAGTTGAGGATCAAATTGACCATCTCACCAACATGCTGCAAGATGCCCTGAAAACAGGAAGCCACGACAGTTTACCAACGAAAAATTCAGAGGGAAGTGCATCAAGCTCACAGAGCAGTTTTATTGACCATGGTTCCTTAGAAGGTAATGAACCAAGGCATTTGCAGCCCTTTAGATCACGTGTGAGGAGTGATTCCGGAAATGAGTCCCTGTTGTCTGATGTTAGTCCATCCACACCTGTAGAAGGTACACTGCACTAGCAATGATCAGGAATGATTGCAAGCAACTTCTGGCTAATTTTTTTCTTATGCACATAGTTCTTTGAAGTTTTCATGTTTAAAGAATAGATTCTCAAGGTCCACTACTTGAACAATGGCAAGGTTTTACTAGACATTTATGGCAACAGCAAAAATGAACTTCACTGATCAAGACCATTTTGCATGAACTAGACTTAAAACACTCAGCTGACAACTCACTTGATTCTGACGATGAGTTTACTCAAGTAGTTGAAATGTCAGTCACCACCAATTACAACAGTCCTTCTCAGAACTACTGGTTGAAAAAATAAAATAAAAAATAAATAAAATAAACAAATAAGAGTTGATTACTGGTACCCTTACCTGGACAATGAGAGTATGTGATCAATTGGTACCCAATGGTTCAAACCATTCACTGTTTCTTTTAACTCTTAAATGGACACAATAATAAAATTGAAGAAAATGTCTCAACACAGCAAAGGTAAACATCTTGCAGACAGCAAGAAGTTCAATTTCTGTTTCTGCCATAAAAGTCACACTGAACCTTTCTAGTACTACTATTGCCTTTACTAAAACAAATAAGAATCCTAATCTTTGTGTTTCTGTGATCTACCACTGTTGATGTTAAATTGTATTTATTCCTTTGTATTTGATCTTGTCTCTTTCTTCACTCTTGCTTTTCCTTGCTCATCTCACTGATCATTGTTATTTTTGTATTTTATTTGTTATCCTTGCTTCATTGATTTTGGTTCATGTTTTCACTGACTAAACTACATTTCTATTGATCTTACTCTTTTTTTTCTGAGTTTGTCTTTTGCAATTTTGTTTTTACTCAACATCATCAAGTGAATCCTTTCTAATTGTTAATGTATTCTTAACCCTTTGTTGTTGCTTTTGTTGATTTGTTCTATAGAATCACTTGTTTGTACAGGGTGTGGTGAACTGTCCAGTTCTGTTGGAACAAGTTAAATCACAATTTTTTTCACAATGCATTGGTTAATTATGTTAATTGGTTAATTGTCTTCCTTTGTAAAAGATGCATGAGTGAGAGAAAAGTCAAGAAATTTTTCTAACTTTTCCTGTCTACCTATGTTGGCTTGTCTGTGACCACAAAAAAAAGCCACAGATCAGAGAGAAACAGATTGAAACATACTAAAGTATTGTGCTGTATGAGGCCTTTTAAGAGGCTGTAGATCGGTGGTTGTTAAAAATCTATCAAGTTGAAACAGAACCTCTGAATTTCCCCTTCCCTTACAGGAAAACCTAAACAGGTACCAGCACCTCCCCCAAGAGCCTCAAGTTCCAGAGAATCATCTTTAAAATACAGTCAAACATTGCAAAGAGATTTCACCCCAAGAGGAACCAAAAGAGACATTAGTGTTCAATACCAGACACAGACTCTCCCTCTGCCTTCCACGAAACCAAAACAGAGATTGCTAGACAGTCCTACACCTCTTTCATCAAGCAGTTCAACCTCATCTGGCAGCCATGCTTCAGTCAAATATGAAGGTTTGATTTGAATGAGGTCTTGATTAAGAAAGGGCTATGCCATATTAATTTAAATTATGATTACCATAATTGTTTGAAAGAAAATAAAGACAGAAAAAAAAAGAATTAGTGCAGGAAACACTCTATAGGTTAATCAAACATCATACGTTTTTCTACTGTTATTTATCTCTGCATGCATTTCTCTGTTTCAGACTTTGATTTTTTTTGTATTTCCTACTTCTCAGTATCGTGTTCTGTTTTTAGGTCGTGTCAAGGACCATAAAGCTCTCGAAGTGAGAGCATCAACTCTCCGGGGTGACCTGAGGATGCTTAGAGCTGAACTCACTCAACTGAAACAGTTCCAAACTTTCCAAGCGCAACAGTTTGATGAAATGATTCAAAGGGCCAAGGAGCAGATTGTGCAACGTGTTGCTCAGACAAACAGTGGTAAGCTTGTTAATCTTTCTCATGCCATTTGTTGATGGACTTTTTGTTGTTTGTTTGTTCAAAACTAAGACCAAAACAATTTATTTTCCTCTGTAGGGGATGACAGTGGTCTGAAATCCAGAAGACAGAAAGTCCATGTGGAAGAGATGACTTATATTCGAGGAAAAAATGATATAAACAGGCACATAAGGTACAACTCATCCACTGAGAATTGAAAAATCTCATGCAATATTTTATCTTTCCATCTAGCTTCAAATGAATGTATGTCATTTTCTCATATCTTTTGTATTTGTGTGATTTACAGTGAGCTTGAGAGTGAAGTGGAGATGCTTCGTCTAGATGTTGTGCAAAAGAGGTGCATTGCAAATCCTTCTGAAGTTGACAGTCTCAACAGTCAGTTGGGGATTATAAGCCGTCAAGTTTCAGACCTAAAGAGTAAGTCAGGTGGTCACATGATAGTAATAGAGCTGTCCTAAAACTACATATTATCATCACCTTATCAGGCATTGGGGTGCATTTTGCTGGCTAAAATGGAGATTTTGTTATTTTAGCTTTCTCACATGCTTGCATGATTATTCAAACTGTTTTGCTGTGATTTTTCTCTGTTTTGTTTCCTCAATGCCCTCCAAAGTGATAATAATAATGATACAGTTTATGTTCATGAGCAAAATTTTTTGAGCTCTTCTCAGTCGTTCTATTGCTTGCCATCACAGAGTCAGGCTTAAAACATTTTTATTATTAACTGTGAACATCGACGTTATTGTTTTATTAATTGCTTCTCTTGTTTTGAAGAAAGATCAAGGTTAGTTTTTACTTCTAATACAACTTTGTTTTATTCCAGGTCAATTTGCAGAACTTCATGACAACATGAAATCAGTCATGGCCTCAGAGTTAGAGGTTATTGTTCAGGGAGATAAGTAAGTTTAAACAGAAGTTAATCCTTCACACTCTATCATTATTATTGTTATTAATATTCTCCATACCCTATGCTACTGACTAGGAGAATGTGTTTGACAGTTAGGGGCTTCTTAGATTGGTGATCATTTCCTTTTCCTTGTGACCTTTACAATTGATTTAAGGGTGATATTGTAAGGTGAAATTAGAAGCCAGTCACACTTAAAGTAAAAAGGGTATGGGAATTCTCTGGCTGTTACAGAGATGGGTTTGAATTTTTTTAAATTACAATTTGTTATCTGTAACTTGTGGTAAAACCAGCCTAATAACATATTTAATTGCTATTGTACATTATTTCCTGGCAGATTTTTGAAGGAAGAACCTTCTAAACTGGAGAACCTTGTCAGTCGATGTAAACACATTACTGGAACATTATTTACATTACAAAAGTAAGGAACCATTTGGAATTTGTTAGTATATAATAAGTATAGTGCAATTTGGTGTTAATAAGCATGAGTAAATTTTTCAAAGACAACAAAATTAAAATCATGTACTGGTTAATAATGTACATGAATGCAGATGAAAAAACATCACAGTCAAGACAGATGTAAATTTTGGCAGTGCATATGCTATTTGTAGTTTGCACTCATGTTACAACTTTGCACTTGTTACATTTGGAATGCACTCGTTTTCAGCCAATCAGATGTTGATTATTTTTTTCATGTCCATACTTATGGTACTTATGGTATATGTAACTTTACAAAAATTAAATGACAGGCATGTTCTGTGACTGACATTAGCAGTTATATTGACCTACCCCACTTTCCAACCACCTAGCAATTCCTTGCTGATGGTTTGGTAATTTGGTATGGTAAACATTGTTATACGATGCAGTTAAGTCACAACATAGTGATCTAACCAGTAAGGATGAGCTGATATGGTTTTTCTGATTCAATACAATACCGAGTACAGTACTGACATTTTCTGCAATATTGATGCCGATATTGATACTGTGAGGTAATTGAGTTAATGTCGAGTCATGTGATTTGATTGACAAAGTATAGGGTTATCTCGCACTGTTAAGTTATGCCTTGATCAATACTCTACAAAAGCAATAACAAGACAATCAAAAATTTAAAACTGGATGGGGGGGGACATACTTAAGTCAAAACTTGTGGTTGTGGATGAGTTCACTCTTACAACGTTCACATGCTTATGACTGGTACATTGCTGTGCTCATTGCCCAATCTTGAGCCCAAAGTCTTTTTTGGCTCCTTATCATCAGCTGGTGGCCTAAGTGAGACAAAAGCACAGACAAGTCACATGCAGTATTGAAAGCATCAATACTTTTTGCTAGTAATGATATTTAACAATCAGACCTCAGTATTGCTACTATCAAATATTTTATATCAGTATGGGCCCATCCTTACTGACCAAGCCCTGGTTGTGGTGGGGGTAGATAATGCCATCCACTGTTTAAACCTCTATCTGGTGGATAGCATGGTGATTTTTCTCCACACTTGTTCATTGAAATAGCAATTTATTCTTAGAACAGTGTTATCTGGCCTCTGAACAATTGGGCCATGGCCTTAAACTGAAATCCCTCTTTAAAGAGTCCCATACCTCAGCTACTAGGAAGGAACATGTCTGGCTTGTTTAATATTGACAGTCATGTTATTGTTTACAACCAGGGCACTGTGCCAAAGTCAACCAAGAACTTCTGTTTTGTTAGTGATTGTTTAATTGACCACTGATTGCTTTTTTCACTTGCACAAAGTAATGACGTTATTGCTGGACTTAATCCCTGATCATGTCATTTTGTTCATTTAGGTTGGTGACTGCACAGCAACAAATTAAAAGTGAAAGTGAAGCTTCATTCAGCTCTCTAGAGGTTTGTAAAAGGAAGTTTGATCTTACTCTGTAGCATCGGAATGAAACAATTTATTAACATGTCATGATCAATTTCAAGTAAAGCATCCTTTGTCGAATTCCCACAATTTCAAAAAGAAGTCTCAAAATTTAACAACAGTTATTTTCTGGTATGATTTGCAGGAAGTTGATAGGGAAGTGATTGATAGTATACGTTCAGTCCAAAGGGAATACATAGACAAAAGAGGTGTAGAGCATAATTTTACAGAGGTAAGTTCTACAAAACACTTTACCACTCATCCACAAGTGACAGTCTTAGAATTTTTCCTCACAATTTAAGTACTCGATCAAGGGAGAAAATGATGAGAATATTCAAAATTGAGAACTAGGAAGTGTTATAGTGATTGAGGAAACTTAAAGGAGGAAATACATTTTGTCTTAACTATGTTACAAAGATTTTAGTTGTATCAACTGTGAACAGACGACAGGATATCTGTTTCCTCAAGACATTAAAACAATCCTTACCTTCAAGGTTAAGATTTTTCTTAAATTGCATAATTAATGTTCAAGGAAATTTATAGTTTTCTGATATTATCTGATCAGAAGGGTCAACAAGCTGTCCAAGCAAGGAAGGGGTCTGTGACTCATCCCTTGCAGTTTCATTTCTTATGCTGCAGTGCCTTTAAAGGCTGTGGGACAGAACTCAATCAGTCCCCTGTGGAGGCATATTGTTAATGAGCAGCTGTTTATAATCTCTTAATGAAAAGTTTGTCAACCATGTTTGATTTTATGGCTGGAGAGGGACTGGTAGGGATAAAATTTTTCTTTGAAGGGAGGGGCAGGACAATAGGAAAGAGAAGGTTAGGGAGGAGGGGAAGGAGTTCCTACCATCTTAATCTATTCTTAATCTAAATCAACAGTTGTGAGCTAGCAAGGCTCATTTACCCTTGCCAATACATTTCTGGCACAGTAGGCCATAATGCAATCTTGCTTAACCCTTAAATCCCTGAGAGTGACCAGCATCTAATTTCTCCTTTCTGTATCACCCCTGAATCAAACATTGAGGTCATAAGAATAAAGGAAATGATAATCAACTGAAGAACTTCTTGATTGTTAAACAAATTATCCTTGCCAGTACATTAGGAAATTTATAGATAACAATATGGAGATGGTAGGGTGTAAAGGGTTAAGATTTAAGATTTAAATGCTTCTTTTTTGAAGGGTCCAAAGTCTCCCGCAAGGGCACGTCAGAGAGTGCGCTTTTATGATGAAGTGACCCAACTACCATGAATCACAGAAAATTGCTCACATGGGAATCGCTGTGGAAAAATGCCTCCTGTAGATGATCTTGGTGCAACCAAGTGGAGAGATGCAAGAATGGCAGCTAATTCATTGCGCTTTGGATAAGATAGATCACTTGGAGAGTTTTCGAGCAATGGAAGTTTGCTCTTCTTGGGGCATGATACTGTTGGCAATGACATTCCAAGACAAATTAGAAAACAGAATGTTTTCTATTCTCCTGGTGTCAAATATCAAGGAAATTTTAGTAGTATATTTTATAGCTTTCTCTTTTCAACACAGTAGTAAGTTAAAGCAAGTTAGTGCGTCTTTCTGAGGGGAAAACCATTTTCGATCACATTTTTTAAAAATCTTACCTTAAAATCCATGAAGTGTCAAATATGAGTAAAAATTACTCTTGCTGATTCCCAAATAAGGAGTCAAATTTTTTCAGCATTTTTGTCAAGGATAACTTAGTCTTATTAATTTATTCTACAAAAAATCCAATTGCAGGTGTGATTCCTAATCAAGCATTTGGCTACTCATTTTTCTGTTTTATTATAAACAAAAACAACAACATAGCTTTTATAGGCTGCTATAGAAATTATTTTATTATTAAAAATGTTGCACCTTGATCGTGACAAAAAAATAAATATTTCGTACAATTTTTCTTACATCTGTTACAGATCTTTGAATGTAAATATCGCTGTTGAGAAAAACCTTATTTCCATTCAGTTTTCTTGAATAAAAAATTAGACATCAAGTAACTTCTACTCTTGATATGAGACTGGTAATTCTTACTGCCATTTGTACTCTTGTGTGCTAATTGGGAGAGGTTGTTAATATATCAAGGACATATTGGTTTTTCAATTCTTGCTGCATTTGAGTCATGTGTACCATAATGCACTGTTATTTTGAGGTGTTTATTGTTCACCTCTGGTAGTAAGAATTACTGGTAGTATTATACTATATGTTTACCCACCATATTTTCTGCTTATCTTGGTGTGGGCATATTGTTTGAAACTCCTGCAATTCATTGCTTTTAGAGGCATCATTAGTGTAAACTACTGGATGTTTTTGGAAATTGCTTTGAAGCTTTCACACTTACCTTTGGAGTAAATTAGAGAGTATTTAAATATTTTAAAGCTCAGGTGTTATGGCTGAACTTTTTCAGTGGCTCAACCCTCCAACTCCCAGAAGTGATTCACATGAAACTTCTCCTTACAATGTCCATTCACTATCCAGCAAACAGGTAATGAGAATACTCAAATGTATCAGGTAGAAGTTGTTACCTTCATCAAACAACAAATTCTTGTAACTAATTTAATGGAAATGTGTAGCAGCTAGCTAGAGGGGTGAATTAACAATCAGATCTTGGAAGTTAAAGGCTTAAGAGCTATTTAACTACTAATTGACTGATTGTAGCAGATTTCTGTCAAAGCCTCCTGTTTGGGGGGAGGGGGAGGGGTAAATACACATGAGGAAGGGAGGGACAATACATGTTTGCCTATCTTTGGCGAATTGTAAAGTTCAATGTAATTTTTAAGAAATAATAAATGTACAAAACATTGCAAACAAAGTATTCTCTAGTGTGTTATGTTCGGCAAGTCTTTGTGGCCTTGCTTTTAAATGAAAATTCCATTTGTTTTCAAACTTGTTGTAGAGACAAGAAAGGCGAATTTACAGGCATATAAAAGACTACAGTTGAACCTTGATTATCTGCACTCACAAGGACTGGGCCGAGTTAAACAAATGATCGAAAGTCTGGACAATCCAAAATATGAATATCAATGAGCCAAAACTTGAAACTGAATAGGTATCAATTAATCAGTATTATGCAAAAAATTTAAGGTGCATTTTCAAATCACTGCCAAAATTTGCCAAAGTATTTACAAACACATTTTATGGTGATGTTTACGACCTAAAATGCTGATTCAAATCAGTCTGTTTCAAGCTGCTACAGCATATGCATGTTGCCAATTCCAACATTCATTGAGGCTGCATTGATAGAATATTGTCTACATTATTGCAGTGCCTCTTCTTTGTTAGATGGGAAAAAGGTATGGATTTTGAATTTGAGTGATTAACATTGATGAAAAAATAGGATTAGAGAGGCAAGTCCAGTTAATCAAAAAATCCAGATAATTAAGGATGAACTTGAGCAATTAGGTTTGCTGTGTGTGATACAGGTCTACATTTCCACATGCCCTTAGGAGAAAAACCCCAAGCCAGCTGTTCCCCACTTTCAAAGGATAATATACCATGAATGTAAAAGAAAAATCATCTTGTACCTATGTCTTTGAAATCCAATGTCAGGATTCATCTTCAAGATGGGTCTGTGTAGCTGATCTGTACCCCACAACTTCAATACAAAGCTGGTAATGTCCCAGTGAAATGTTTTAATTTGGTAGATCTGAAATTAAGATGAAAAAGTTAGAAAAATAAAGTGACAATAATAATAAATCAAAATTGAATTTTATCAGTATTTTAGCAGCACCTCCTGATATTTTCATCATTGAAAAAAGTTTCACGTAATCTGCATTCAAGTCAAATGACCGACCCCAGCTCAGCTTATTCCACTTGCTCAGAATTTCTCCTTTTAATATCCATAAATTATCAAGCAAACAGGTAATAAGAATGCTTAATCATTGACCCTCTAAGCCCCAATAGTGGCCAGCATCCAATTTCTCCCAACAATATCACTACCTGATTAAATGTACAGATCATGAGAATGAATCAAATGATCACCAAAGATTAAATGTCTTGATGTTTCAACAAATTCTCTCAATCAGTAAAATAAGAAAAATATAGAGAAAAGTGCCGAGAATATACATGTTGAATTTGAGGCTTAAAGGCTAAGTAAAAGTTATCTTGATCTGATACCAAATCCCTGTAACCAATTAACATGGAAATATGTAGAAACTAAAGGAGAGAATTCTTATCATAATTTGGGAGTTGAAGGCTTTGAAATGTTGTCTGCACCCAAGTCAAATGACCCACTCCATCCTAAAATATCCCGGTTTCTCAAGCAGGAAGCCACCCTCTATGGATGGAATTCTAGTTCATCACAGATTGCTAAAACTTTCAGGGTAGAAATTCTTAACCAATAAAAATAACTAATCCTTCCAAAGGCTTTAATCCTTTACACCCTTTACATCAGTATGCCAGTTCTCCATACTGTTCTCTATACATTCCTTAATGTGCTGATGAGGAGAATTTGATTAATTATCAAGAGGTTCTTTAGTTGATTACCATTTTCTTTATTCTCATAACCTTAATGATCGATTCAGGGATGATATCGGAAGGGAAAATTAGATGCTAATCACTCTCCAGGATTAAAGAGCTAAAACCAGTCATTTTCATTCAATCTTGCATGTGATGTTCAGAGGGTGTTCAACACTAACATGGAACACGAAGGGCCATTTGATTATAGAAAAATATGAAATCTAAATGGTAGATTAT